TAATAACCTGAAACGGACACAGCTGTCAATATCTAGAAGCCCATTTCACTTGGGTTGCCCTTCAGTTGCCCTTCTCTTTGTGTAGGCTAGCTCTTAAATGAAGGCTGAGAAAGAAGACATACTTTAATTATCTAACAACTCTTTATAGATTTTTCCAGTTCCCTAAAATTAGCATACTGGGGTTTATGGCTCCGACTTTCCAAGTTGGAGGTGGAATGCCCTTTTCCAGGGTTCGTATGATCAAAGGGGCCTTTAGAAGCTTTCTTTGAGGCTTTGGGCTTGGTCCAAAGCATTGCTTGCATCTCATATTCATCAGGGAAATGAACGGCAGAAGGTTCGTTGACAATGCACATCTAATGTACGTCAGTTCACTTCTTACGCGGGTGGAGAGAGGAATGCATGCGTATGGTTCATCTCTTAGAATGTACCTACAATCTGGTCCGCTTTCCCTTCACAAAGAACGTTCCACCTCCTCCAAGAAATTTCCTCTTACATAAACACAAACAGGATATTTATTCATAACCTTACAGGAAAACAAACTTCCTTAAGTCTCTAGGTTGGGATGGACTAAACTCTGTGATGAAGTGTGTTGTCTTTTTTATTAAAATTACCATCTTGCAGTCAATGTTGACAATAAAGGGAGTGGATAGGATTATAAAAGCCAGAGTCTACAGCAGTGCTTCTCAACCTTGGCAACTTTAAGATGTGTGGACTTCAACTCCCAGAATTCCCATAGCTGGCTGGGGAATTGTGGGAGTTGAAGTCCATGCATCTTAAAGTTGCCAAGGTTGAGAAACACTGGTTTACAAACTTGGTGTTCTCTAGATTTGTCCCAGACCAGTAAAATAAGACACAGAATGAATGCCCGGGTATAATTTGTACTTTTACATAGGCTCTCATTTAGATCTTAGCACATTAAATAAATTATTGTATGGAAACACTACTTCAGCTGCCCCTTTCGTATAACTTCACAAGTAAGTTATCAATCACTTCTGTGCTTCCCAAACAAATTGTCCAGCACACATTGCCTATAAACGACCTGTTATAATTCTGCACATTTCTGCATTTCTTGCTTTGTTGCTTCTTTCATTCCCTCGAGTTGGTGTGAGACAACTCAAAAGTTTGGAGTTTTTTTTGTTTTTAGTGCCATTTTAGTGCCATTTTAGTGGGCCCTAATAAAGGTATTACCAACTGGGGATTTTTTTTTCTCCCTGTGGTCCAACTCAGCTGCGAGTTTATTTTTATTTCATGCTTCGGTTTTTAATAGGCACGGAAGGGGGCAACAGAACTTTGGTCTTCAGATATCTCCTCCCTCTGGATTTCTGCACCAGAGAGACGTGATCTCAGAAAGCCTTCATCCACAAAGCTCACTACTGAATATTTAAATAATCTCATTTGTACTTTTTTCCTGGCTTCCACTGAATTGCAGCCTACAAATAACATTCTGTTCTTTGGTATGATAACGCCGTTCTTTTTCCATCAGCTCTCCTTTGCCTGCTCAGGAGCTCATTCCTGATGTCTCTCTTGAGACACCAGGGCCTGCTTCAAGCACCCACAGCACAGAAAAGGACGCCGCGTGCACGTGCCCACGTTCAACGCTTGTGTGCAAGGAGTCTCTCTGCTTACAAGTTCTGAGTGCAAATTCCAAATGGATGCCTCTGCAAGGAAACGGAGCAAAAGGATTCCCTTCGGAGAATTCCTGTAGTTTAGCTGAGTTGAAGGGTGCGCCTTAACATTAAAAGCTCGGTGTCCTGTTGGCTGGATTTGCAAACAGACTAGGATAAAATGGGATTGGATCGCTTGGGTTCAGGAACTTGTAGGGAAGGGTTAAATCCAAAGTAAGCCTGGGAGAGCCCTTTTGACTGATGACGGAGGCCAGAAGGTAATCCTGATTTGTAGACAGCACAAACCCTTTCAAACGCAGGGTTTTAGGAGCACGGTAGAGCGCCAGACTAGTAGACCTTCCGCGAGTACAGCAACAGATCCTTAGCATGGGAATTACACTACTGCAAACAGGTCCCTCTTCGTACCTGAAAAATATGATATAAGCATAAGAGCGTAAGAAAATTCTACCCTTATGCGTGCATGGCTGGCACAGGAGTATTGCAAAGGAGCATGGCAGGTTATCCCTAGCATGATGATGCTGCTCAGATAAATGAGGTAACGTGCTTATTAGCTTGCAAGATTTGGAGGGTGGGTGATGGTGGTTAAAAACACAGCAGACATGGGCTGGGTTCACATACAATACTAGAGTAGGCTCACACAAGGTTCAGGTAGTTATGATTCAGTAAGTGGGCTCCCCATCACCCCTGAAAGGTTGGTCCTCCAGAATGGCTTCAATTGGCTCCAACATTATCCATCTTCTGGAGCAGTGTTGTCCAAACTTGGCCACTTTAAGATGAGTGGACTTCAACTCCCAGAATCCCCCAGCCGGCTGGCTGGGGAAT